TGGCTGAGGTTGCAAAACGAGGTGTCGGTGTTGTGAGGAAGAATGAGGCTCTGGGTGAGTGTCTGTCACCTCATTTCCTGTGGTTTCTGTGTTTGTTGTGGTGTACTCAGGGATGTAAAGGTTTTCGTCTTCAAAGATTTCCTCAGGGACAATAATGCTGGGGAAGCCGTTTCTCTGTAGCATGATAGGGACAATGTTTGCGAATCTTTTTGCGTTGTATTTGGCAGCAATGAGACTTACGTGTAAGATGGCTTGGATTTTTGGGTTTGTGTTCGGTGTGAGAGTGCTTGTTGGGGGTTGTGTGGGCAGAATTGTCCGAGGGGAAGTCGTGGGTCGTCTAGGTGTACTGGTCTGAGCAGGTCGTGTGGCAGCTGTTGTTGCGTAGGAAGGTACAGTGTTTGTGTCTTGGCGGAGCTCAGCTCGTTTTGCCTTAAGTATTTCCTTCCGTTTAGGGCAGGATCCACTAACTGCGACATGCGATCCCTCGCAGTTGCAGCATTTGATGCTTTCAGTGCACCTGGCGAAGAAATGACCGTCGCCGGCGCACCGAGAGCATCTCTGGGGGTGTGTGCACTGGTGTTTTTTGTGGTGAAAGCGGTAGCAGTTTAGGCATTGGTCGATGTGAATAAAGCATTCGGGTTCCAGGTTGTAGGTGGGGACCGATGTATTAAACATCATGAGTCCCCGAGAGAGAAGTTTCTGGGCTTCCTCGGGGATGAGACGCGAATCTTGACGATTCGCGACTCGGGTGGCTTATAGACGTCGAGAACAGTGACACCGTTCTTGACGGAAACCTCCTGGCAGATGGACTCGCACGATCGTGGGGGGATCGTCTTGTCGATCTTTTTGGCCACGATCGTACATTTAGCCTTCATCTCGGGGGAGGGAACAGGTGAGAAGCCGTGGTCTTTTAACTTTCTTTGGCCGTCGGCCGAAAGAAATGGGGTCAAGTGTTCAGGTTTGGCAACTGTCACCTTGAAGCCATTGTGGACCTTAAAGAGGTGTGTGACTGCCACCTCAGTGATAATGAAGATATTCTGGAGAGCCTCCTCGCAAGAGATAGGCTCCCCAGAATACGCTAATTTGATCACGTGACCCATAGGGTTACGCCATAGCGAGGGTGATGGATGATGGGTAGAGGGGAGGCTAGCAGAGCTAATTCAACTGGACGATGAAAGGTCGGAAATGGTATCAAAAACGGTGAAGCACACAGGGTAGCCAACAGTCTCTATTTGGGAAGGCCGGTCGGGGTCGGAACCCTGCCGAACGGGCGTGAGCCCTTATGTGTTCGGCCGAACACTTCGCAGCGAAACTATCGGCTGCCACTGTGCGTCGTGCTTTTAATTACTCGCACATCAAGGCTGTAATTAAAGGCACTAGCCCAAAGCAGGTATTGCGCAACTGCACCCAAAGCAGTTACACCAAGAGCCAATCGTCTTGTTCGTCGTGGGGGTGTCAAATCTCTTTACTTCATCCACGATGACAAACACGAAAAACCTCGGACTTAAAGATCCAGGTAAGCCCTCCTTAACCTTGATCAAGGGTCTATATAAGTACTTACATAGACCTTGACCTTGATAGCCTATGCGAAAACAAGTCTGGAGTTGCTTAGCGAGCTTTTTTGAAAACTGTTGTAGTCAACCGTTTTGACGTTCCATGGAGGAAGAATGAAGGAGATTAATTTATTTTCAAAACATTCTTTCACGAGAGGGCTTATGATTGTACAGACGTTTTATTTATTTAAGAAAGAAAAAAAGTTTATCGGGTGAAATGAAGACGCATCAATAAACGTGAACTGATGCTACGTGATAAATGAAAATGGGAATCAAAAAGGGGAGGCTAAAATAAAAGCTTGTTGCCTCGTGGGCGATATGCCCTTGCTAATTAAGAATAAAAAAAGGTGTATTCTGCAGATGGATTTTTGAAGGGACAAGAGAATCGGTGATAAAAGGAAACATATAAATAGGATGAAAACGGCAAAAAATAAGCCAGTTGATGATTTTGTAATGTAAAATTACTCATTATAGTTTTAAAGTACAAATTTATTCTCATACAGATATTGCAACGTGCCTGAAAAACTGAGAAACATTTACCTTCTTGTTGTATAAATGGAGAGTTTGCGGAAAACCAATCTATTTTTGCGTAACAGTAAGTACTCGCGAAAATCTACCGTCCACCTTCCTTCATGCCCCCTCCCCCCACTTCTACCTGCCAGCTACAGCCTTGGCACTGTCATGTCACCAACTGCTATCGGAGTTCAATACACGACACGGATTCTTCAATCTAACTCTTTCACTGCAGTTTCTTTTAAAAAATATACACATACATCATCACGGGTAAGATTTTGCATATTTACATAATTATCCATACCTATTTCTGGAACAAATTATCCCAAAAGAGAAGAATTCCGTTGAGGCAGATATACAGACAGCACGATATACAGACAACGCCCTATCACTACCTGTTGCTAGAGAGGTACTGGTACCGAGTCTGTTTACATAGCCCTGCGTGGTCACTGTTGCGTGCTCTCTTCATTTTTAATTTCCATCAGTGAAATTTAATTCCAGAGGACATTTTTTTTTATAAATCTTTCGGACGTGTCAGATTATTACGTTTAAAAAAAATCACAGATGTGTTTTTATCAAAATAATATCTGCCTGTTTTAGTTGCTCAGCGATACGACTACTCATGATATAACCATAATGTTGACGATTAGCGCCATTTTAGAATATTTACGTAAATGGTTGACGATTAGTCCCATTTCAGAATATTTACCTAAATGGTTGACGATTAACCCCATTTGAGAATATTTACCTAAATGGTTGACGATTAACCCCATTTGAGAATATTTACCCTAATGCTCACAATACAGTGACCACGACTACACATATTCCTCTGAGAATGGCCATACTCCTGAGCTAAAACGACAACCGTACCCCTAAAACCTACACCTAAAAGCCCTCCTAAATCCTAAATCCAATAAACCCTGGACCCCTCGTACCAGAACCTATGCGAAAACAAGTCTGGAGTTGCTTAGCGACGCTTTTTGAAAACTGGTTGTAACACAAATTACACCACACACACAACATTACACAACACAGCTAACAAACACACAAACCACCAGCTCACCACATCTTAGCACAGCTCTCAACCACTAGAGAACAGCGACAATTAAGTAATGAACATGGAGAAATTAAATTGGCATATTTACTTACATTACGAAACCACTTGTTAATCTAAGTAAATGCATCTCCGCCTATGATGGGCTCATTATTATGACAATTAGATACAGATTCGCACTTCCTAATACTCATAAAATGTTACTCGATTTTAATAAAGAAATTATAAAACAAGCTAATGAATAAGGTCAGGCTCTTCGCTGGCACATTATTGCGAACGCATGGACAGGGCACGGACGGGGCAGGGTACCAGTTGTAGAAATTCTTCTTGAATTTCCAATCAGAACATACCAATTAACCTCGGGTGTAGCTAGATGGATAACGTCGGGTTCTTGTAAATAATACCTGAAAATGCTGGAGAGGAGATTCTGACAGACAATTGCAGAGGTTATGGTCTGAATATAGATAAAAAGTTACTATGTGTTAGCAGGTCACAGGATAGGAGGGTGACGCGAATTAGGCAGAGGTTGATGATGATAGGGAGAGAGATAGAAAAGAGAGGGTGTAGTTGTGGTGCAGATGGATTTTTGAGAGGAGGAGAGAGGTGGAAGGATGGGGAGTAAGGAAGAAGGAGAAAGGAGAGCGAAGAGCACATCGAGTGAAGAAATGAGGGCATGTGGGATTTATGGGGCAAAGAGGATTTGAGAATAGAGAGCAGGTAATGGATGGATGCTCGTTTGTGCAGAAAAGTTGTGAGTGATGAAGGAATTGAGGGACTCATATAGTAGGAAGGGTATTAATAATGGACAAATGTTATCTCGTGCGATAGGACACAGAGATAGTTGGCACAGGCGAGAAGAGGATAGACCGCGTGAGAAAACTGAGAAAAGGGGAGAGGCACGGTGTATACACTTGCGTTGGGGTGTGATAGGAAGGTGAGGAATGGAGAGGTATGCGGGAAGAACGGGAGAGCAATGACATGTGATTTTTGGGCAGTAACGCAGTAGAGTAGTCGCGAAAATCTACCGCCACCTTCCTTCTGGAGGCACGAAAGGAGAGAGAGCCACCAGGAGAGTCACGTACCGAGCAGATGATGATAAACGCATGGCCAAGCGATGAGAAGGACAAAGACCTTAGGCGAGGTGTGCATAGGGTCACAGCAGAGAGAGAGAGAGAGGAGAAGCTGGCTAGGTCAGGGAGAAGTGTCAAATACATCGACAGGATTCGTTCAGAATCTAACTCTTTCACACTAGCAGTTTCTTTTAAAAAATATACACATACATATGGCACGGGGTAAGATTGGATTTGGCATATTTACATAATTATGCATACCTATTTATGGAACAAATTATCCGCGCAGAGGAAGGGAAACGAGGGAGAGAATTCCGTTGAGGGAAGGAGCAAGGAGGAAAAAGGGATATACACGCATGGATTCTTCAAGCGGGGACGAAAATAATACAGACAGGTAGGCAGCCCTTATCACTGACTGTTATGCTAGAGAGGTAACGAGAGGAGAACTGAGAGAGGAGGTAAAACGAGATGAGAGAGGAGAGAGAGGAAGGAGGAGAGAAGAGAGTAGGGAAGAGAGAAGAGAGAGAGAGAGAGAGAGGAGTCTGTATATTAGCAAGGTAGACGCATGGAGGATGAGGATCGACATATAGTTCATTGTGCGTATAGACTTTCTTCTAAAAGATCATTCGAATTTTGAGTAGTAATTAAATTTGATTGCAAACATCAGCAGGTGAAATTTAAAGTAATCTAACAGAGGACAGTATTTTTATTTTCTTATAAACTCTTTCTTTTTGACATCTGATTGTTACAGATTTATTACAGATACTTTTAAAAAAAATCACAGATGTGTTTCTAATTTTTTCTTTATAATTACTATATTCAATATTACTTAATCACTTGTGGACCTTCCGTTATTGTATTAAGTTGATATGGTTGATTGCACATGGTTTTTAACTCTAGCATGTTTTTCGATAGGAGCTGGATACTACTCATTAGAAATTATGAGAATCAATTTATTATATAGGATTATACAATTCTAATTTTAAATTTGTTTGTACGATTATATAGCCGTCACGCAATTATTAGGAATATTCCTAGACAAACATAAATTGTTAGTTTTGTGAAGCCCTGAAATTGTTAGTATCCGCTTTACAGAAATATTAAGACAATGATAATAAAAAGATAGTTGTATTGAAAGACTATATTAACTTGATATCCCAATGGATATGAGAATATTTACTAAATGGTTGACCAGATCTAACACTCACTTATTTAATAGAAGTATGTATAAGTATTATTAATAACTACACTTATCGCGCGGCGCTACAATTGCTCATAAAGTAACTCAGTGACCACGACTACACACTTATTTTATATCCACTCTGAGAAAGTGCGCGGAATATGACTACCATTGGATGAACTATAATATCACTTTATTAATAACGTACGTACCTTGTATAATTTACCACAAATCCAAACTTAATCTCACGCTTTATTGGAACTAACTAAAGGCACTCTTTTAATTAAATCACTATATACACAATTCTTCAACCACACATGGACCCGTAACCAGTAATCTCTCAAACAAAAGAGGAATCGGAATCCTTCGCCAAACGGACAGCGAAACAGCTTGAGCATCGCGCCCACGAAGCCTACACGCTTTACTGTTAATTACTCAAGAGCACGATATAGGTAGTGGTGGAAAAAGTACGTTAATCCGACTGTCACAGAGGGTTTATCTTACTTGACGACTTGGGGTCAATCAATATATCTGATATACAAAATAGAATATAGAGAATAATATAATAGAATAAACGTTAACAATTACATATTGAATAAGAAGGAAGAGATATGAAAGTGTCGCCGAGATAATACTCTAAATTTTTAAGTTTGAATTTTCTACATCACTCTGCAATGATATAACTAATCTATTTACATCTATCACATATCATAATTCAATAATTTAATATATTCAATAATATATCACATAATAATGGGGTCTCACTAATCTTATACACTAACACACTGGGATTATAAATTCGGTCATCTAAACATCAACAACATTCAACATACTAATTTATCTATTCATTATCGTCATCTCTCTCTCTCTCTCACTAAGTCTCTATCTAATAAAATATGATAATATAAATAGGATAAGAAAATATATATTATATATTATAGAATAATACCTATATATATGGGCATTACGCAATCTTACATGTTGATAGTGTAGTAATGTGTGGTGCATATAATTAGGTGATACATACATATGTATATATATACATATTTGCACACACACACACACACATACACACACATAAGGACACACATCACAACAAACTATATATATAACACATACAAATATGGTGTGGTATATAACATATGTATAATATAATAATATATATATATTATTATATATATTAATACCTATTATAAATAATTATAATTATATGTATGATATACTTATGACATATATAAATAATATGTATAAAATATTAAATTATAATTGCATATATATAATATGATATATAAATAATATTAATATGATAATTATTATAATAATAAAACATGGATAAGATAAATAAACATATAACACAATATTAATTATATAATACTATAAGATTGTATATCTATCTATCTTATCTATCTAAGGTCATAATTTAAATTTAAAATCAAAAGGTCAAAAGTACAAAGAAATCAAATCTCAAATCTTATCTATTCCTCAATCTATCATATCTATGATCATATGATAATCTAATCTATCATATCTATCTTCCTATTATCTATCGTGGACTTCCGCTTTATACTTCTTGTTTTAATAATAATTGAATCATATTTTAGGTATTAGAATATATATTATACCATCTTCAGTCCTTAAGGTATATAAATATATACTAAATGGCATCTAGCACTATATATTTGGATAGTTGTATAATAATAGTTTAATATAACTTATGGATATACTATGTCTATATATACTAGAGTACCTCGGGATATAATACTCATATATATGTATATATGTATATTATATATATATATTTAATATAATATATTTATATATTTATATATATAATATATACATATATACTTTATACATATATATGAGTATATATATACCTATAACCTATACTTAGTTATATATTAAAATTAACAATCAATTATTATTATTTTACTGTTATAGTATATATAATAAAAATGTATATATGCATATATGTATAGGTTACATGCATCTAATTATTATATTACTACTTAGTCCTATACCTATTATAAAATCTTATTAATAATTATTATATGTTATATTATTATTATTACTTGGGTACACGTGTGTTATACTAAGGAGTAAATATATATATATATTTTGTATATATAT